AAATAATTCTGTGATATTCTTTTTATAAATTGATCAATATTTTTTCTAATTTACATCTTCTGTGCATCCCTAGATCAGATTAGCAAACTCCGATATTGTCTCTCTCTCTCTCTATTGATATTTTTAATTCAAAAATATGTTTGTCATTAGTTATAATTATACCTAACCTTATCACGATTCACGATCCATTATATTAAAATAAAATATTCAGTAGTAGCAAGTGCTCGATGATGCATATCCTGTTGAATAATTATTTATTATTATTTCCCTAACTACTTTACTTGGAATGAAGATGCTTGGATTTTACTTTTGGTCAATGAAAATAAAGTAGAATGCCCGATGTTGATATCTCGATAATGATTAACAAGATCCGTCGCAATTTGATTTACCAAATCGTGGGCATCAATATCAAAATTCAAAACCAACAGATATAAACATGATTCACTATTATTGTGATTCGCGGATGAAGTATATGGACCCTACATATTGACTTAAAATGCTTGCATTAATTAAGGGCTTCCTAAAGATAATGCTATCAAGTTCATGTATGTGTACTATGCTTTAAGAAAAGTCACGTTTTGCTTACCAACTCCTCCTCATTTATTGATGAGGAATTAGTGTAATCTCATAGTAATAATAATGATTAACAATACTTCTACATCCACTCTTTCATATAAGAGCTAAAAACTAATTTGTAGATAGATTTAAATTGTGAATTTATTCTGAAAAGCTTTTACTTGATACATGATTTTAAAGGCAATTTTACACCTAAAAAAACTGTGCTCCTAAGTAAAAACTTTCAAAGCAAATTTAAAAAAATGATTAAATTAGCTATTTATAACAAATATATTTAGATTTTTTAAACTACCTTATTTGATCTTGTGCATTAAGATATTTCTTTATTGTAAACTCCTTTTAATATGTGTAATCAATAGGGATATTTTAATTAAAAAAACTATAAATTTGGAAAACAAATGGGCTGAGTCTTATATTTAAACTAAAATAAAGCTTTTGTTTAATTTGCAGATGTATTATTTAGATTGGGGGTAATTTTACCAAAGATTGTATGATAATTTGAGTGAATGAATGATGGTGCAGATAGTGGATGAAATGAAGCCGAGCCCACTAGTGATCAACATGTTGACAGCACTAAGCAGGATCATTCCCAAGTGGAAATTAATACCAACCAAGGATATAATTGACATTGCCTTCAAGCAGCCCCAAGTTAGAGAACAGGTATTCATCCATCTATATAACTATGATGCGCCACTGCCACATTCCAAAACCTGACTGAATATATATATATATATATATGTATATATATTTCTATGATGAAATTATTGCAGATTAAAAATAACCCATTGTGCTATAAAGGACGGCCTAGATTGAAAACTGGATACGAACTTTACAGAGTTAGTGTACAACTGGAGCGAACATTACAGGAGGTATATAAACATGTATTTTTGTTTCATTTGTATATGTTTGTGTAATCTTGCATCAAAGGAAATTTTACGGTGTCAGGTGTGCATGGATGAATACTTTATGAGTAGATTTGTTCACTAACATCTGTTTCTTATAAAGAGGCATAGATATACCACCATATATATGTGTATAATACAAAATAAACGGGTTTGTTTGGATATGCAGGTGTCACTACCGTTCTTGGTTCTACACGGTGAAGATGACAAAGTGACAGATAAATCAGTAAGCATTCAGCTGCATAAGGTGGCTTCAAGCAAAGATAAGACACTAAAGTTGTATCCCGGAATGTGGCATGGCCTCCTCATCGGAGAGCCGCCGGAGAACTTGAACATCATTTACAAAGACATTGTCGATTGGCTTGATGATAAATGCAAGTATGGAAGTATCAGATTGGAAAGAGAGCTTAAAAACCAAAACGAGGACAATCCAACAATTGAGGCTTAGACAACACACTAAGCTTGTATTTAATGTCCTGTCTACATTCGTGTTGTTACTGGTTTATATGTACCTACCAAATTACAAACTATTGGGTGTCTATATATTCGGTTGGTAGAGAATCAATCAATGTTTGGAACCTTAATTTGTGCCATTAAAACACTTTTAATTTCCCTCAACAAACATGATAGATCAAGCACCAACAAGTGTCGGTCCAAGTGAAAAGGACTTGGACACCTTAAACATCATGTCGTGGGTTCGATCTTTAGGGCGGTATATATGAAACAAACACTATTGGAGGGGTTCCCACTATGGTGCTTGACAGTACCTGAGAGATTAGTCTCTCATCATTCGAGTGGAAAGATACTCTGGGCAAGTAAAAAAAAAACATGATAGATCAAGCAGTATGAGTGCTTTGAAAAGATGTGGAGAAAAATCGAAAAGGATATTTAATAAAATTATTGAGAGAGACTTTTTAATTAATAATTTATGTAAAAAATATAGCTGTTAATAGAACACTCTCTGGTCCTTACTATAAATACTAATTGACTAATTTGAATAGATGAAGAAAATTTGTTAAGTTATTTATTTGTAATAAATATATATTATCTTTTCTAAAATACCTTTGCTAATCAAATGTGTTAGCTTTAACATATGTAACTATGGACTATCTTGAGGAAAAATCAATAAATAAGAAAGACAAAGTGAATTAGGATCTTATATTTATAACTAAACTGAAAGTCAAATTAGTTCATATACTACTTCCGATCCTAATTATAAGATCCCGTTGATAGTCTATAAATGAGGTCTTATAATTAAGATCAAAAGTAATACAACAGTGCCATGGGATTCATATATTTGATATGGTGGAACAAGGCTTGTTGTCTGTGGTTTAATAAAGACTGTTTCTTTGAATTCATCCACACGGGAGTGTTCATTCAATTTTCTTTCTCCCCTCGAGTCCTGACTTCGTTGATTTAGTTCTGTTTGGGCAACAATTGTTACCGAACCAAATTTAGTCCTCAAAGAAAAAGAACCAAATTAAACCTTTTTTTTTCCCCCTACTCCCCTAATGGGCTACAGAAAGTTGACCCTGAAAAGTGGGCTATGCAAGGTTAGTTGTGTTCTAGGTTCATTTTTTTGGGCCAATACGGAGGGACCAAAATGAAATGGGTATAGAAAAACCAAAATGGGCCAACACGTTACAGTCATTTGATTAGGTGCCCAAAATAAAATAGGGAAAACTAATTTAGAAGTCCCTATAAGTTGTTTCAGTTTTGAATCAGGTTCCTCAATTTATTTTTCTTTTTATTGGGTCTTTTAATTTTTTGCTATTACAGCTGTTAGTCCTTGTCTTTTAAATCTATTAAATAAGTATTGATACTGTTAAGAATTTCTGTTACAAGGCACGACTCATTCAATAATAAAATGCCATGTCTAAAAGCATCCTCGTCTCTTCCTGTTCACATCTTCTTCCACAGTACCAAGCTCTCCTCTCTCTTTTTGCTCATTCCTCCTCTTCTTCAACCTCTCAACCTATAAATAGCTCACAATTTCTTCTCATCTACCATAACATTTCCCTGCGGTCACATCTCCTTCTCCATCCAACTTGAGGCCATTTGAAGCTTCTTTTAATGAATGAGAATTATTTTGCAGTTTTGATGGATTCAACTTCATGAAATGTATTGGAGGTTCTTTAACCAACCAAATGTTATTGTCATAGAAAAGCACAAAAAAGGATCAAAAATCTTGTTTAGGCACTAAAGTAAAGACACATTTTTTTTGGGTAACTTTGTAATGTTTCTGAAAATTAAGATAATGATGTTTAAATGGCCAAAATTTGTCTGCAACAAAGAAAAACAACGATTCTATTTTTCTTCAAGCCCCTGTTTTAGTAATAGAAAAACAAAAAGATCAAGGAAGCAACCAACAACTTCTCCAAAGGTAAACTAGACTAAATCCTCAACAAGGTTTGAGTCATTGCCAAGTCAACCATGGTAACCCTGTTCACTTTCTTTGTTGTTGTGTCAAACTAGATTGCCAATCCCTTATCATCTATGAATTTATCTCCAGGTACAGTTTCACAATTGCGTTGGACAAAGCCTTAAAGGAATTGCAGCTTGACTACCTATTTCTCTATCCGGTATACTTTTCCATTTGATCTGTCATTCAAGAATAGTAAGGGAGATGTTGATGAATGAGCAAGAAGAGAGAGGAGAGCGTGGTCTTGAGGTTGCGGTGGAAGGAGACGATGCTAACATGAAGAGAAGATGATGTTTTTAGATGTGGCAGGAAAGTGGGCAATGCTTTTTAACGAAAATTCTTAACAGTGTTAGTACTTATTTAACAAATTTAAACTCCAAGGACTAACAACTCTAACAATAAAAAAAATTAAAGGATCCAATAAAAAAGAAAAAAAAATTTAAGGACCTGATTCAAAACTGAGGTAAATTATAAGGACCTCCAAATTAATTTTCCCAATAAAATAAAAAACAGTATGAATAAAATAGGTTTTCCTATTTTTTAATAAAATAATATGAATAAATAGTATGTAATGGAAAATATATTTGAAAATTTTAATGATATTTTTGTATAATCTTCTAATGATCACTCTTTCTAGACTATTTTTTAAAATTTATATTTAAATACTGAACTTTGTTTAACAAAATTAAATTATTTTTTCTATACTTCATATTGAATTAGGCTTGGGAAATTAATATTTTTTGTACATATTTTAAATAATCAAATTAAAAATGTATCAATTCATAGAAATCAGAAAAAAATTTATCCATGCAATATTTTATCTTCATAAACAAAATATATTATATATTATTTTTCTAACAAAATAAAAAAAATAAGATGCTATTGTTTTAATATTTATTATTAATCAATTATTTTTTTGAATAATATTATTAGTAATTAATAATGAGATGTTTAATTTCCAATTCTTCGTCCATTTGATGATTTGAATTGAATGAATGGAAACTGAAATTGAGATTACCTAAAAGACAAAAATATCCCCAAAGAAAATTTCGAATCACGCTGTCGTCCATATTAAACCCAAAAGGGCTTGGCTGCAGAACCCCACGGACCCGGCGCATATCTTCATTTGCCCTACTCCTTGGCTGCCAAACCCGACTGCCAGTGCCGCCACTCCGACGTCCGTCGTTTTCTTTCTCGCTTCCGTCATCGGTACGACATTTTCTTCTTTTAATTTTTCTGAATTCACATATTTGTCATTTTTGGGCTAATGATTCACTGATTTGTCGGCAAAGTGTAAATTAGTCATGGGCGAGGGATTATGAACTGGTTAAAGTGGTTTGTCTCATCTTAGTGACGGGTTCGTGTTGATTTTGGTTGTGTTTGATATAGCTGAGTAGCGACGAGGGCTTCATAGTGAGTTGGACGAGTTTTCATATTTTCTTATCATTCCGGGGATGGGGACGACTCCAAATCTATATAAATAAGGTTTACGACAAAGCCATGAGAACGCTTTCTCCTTTTCTTGTTAAATTGAAATTTGGTTTTTAAAAAATTGGTCATCCTAAGTTAACGAATGTTCCAAGTTGAAATTCTTTTGTGAATTTCACAGATAACATGCTTACTATCTGTTGATAGTCCCAATTCTAGGGTTTTGGTTCTTCGGTAATTAATGTCATTTCATGAAATGTTCTTTATGATGGTATTACAGAGAAAAGTGAGGATAGCTCCCACTTCCTCTGGTATCTGCTGTGCTGAAGTTAAGCCCTTTCTCATCCTTCCTTGCTCACGATGAAGCTCGTCAGGTCTCTTTTTTCTGTCTCTCTTAATCTTCTTCGGCATTATTGATTTTTTGGCCTAAAGCTGACTATGAACATTTGATCAGGTTTTTAATGAAGTTAAACAATGAAACTGTGTCAATCGAGCTGAAGAATGGTACCGTTGTTCATGGCACCATTACAGGTTTCTTCTCTTCCTTTTGCTCATTCTTGTTTTCATTTTCAATTCTTGGAATGTTGATTTTATTAGGTTTTTTGGAACATCGTACTTTGAAATGTACGCTGTAGTCCATAGCAACATAACAAGCTTAGAAGTTTTCTTACTTCTTTTATAATTTAAAGTGTCATGATTTGTTCAATACTAGTGCCTGGCATGTATTGCACGCGAATACTACTTATTTTTAAGTTTGCTTTATAAATGCCTTTATAGTCTTGATAGCCTTTTTTAGGCTGTTTGTGTACACCCAGAGGAAGTTTTCCGTTTAAAATATTCCAATTGCGCATACATGGCTTTGATCTGTGTGGATGCTTTATAGATAGTTGTTGTACAGGTTTATATTTAATATTCCCATTGGTCCTGGATATAATAGTAAATGGAAGGGTTTGCTTTGGTCTTAAATATAAGAATTCAATTCATTTTGTCTCCCAAATTTATAACATTCCCCCCCAAATTCTCCTTATTGATTATACATGTTAAGGGGGTTTTCTATCAAGAGGCCAGTATCCAATGCAAATGATTAGAATGGGTACTTTAAGGCAAACCAACACCCATTTATTAGTTATTTTTATAAATTAGTTATTTAACTCTTATATTTAGGACCAGAGGCAATATTTATGTTAAATTTATACTTTTATGCCCTAAGTGCTCCACTTTCCCATCTTCATTAACACCTCCAGTATTTTCCTGGGGGCTTCATTATCTTGAGTCATGATATCTATAATGGGGTAGATTTAGTTGTCAGTGTCCGGTGGGATTTTGTGAGACATCGCCACAAGAGTATGTGCTGCTCAAATGGCACACGATCATGCCCTACATTCTCCATTTTTAATTAGCCAATGATGGGTACCACTTGCATAATGTGTAGATCTCAGTCCATGTATGGTCTTTTAGCCTGTGATCTCATTCTACCTCCTAATGGTACCTTTATAACTCCACTTTTCTAACTGTCTCTGCTTTTGACCAAAAGAAAAACTGTCTCTGCTGAGATTATTGCAGCCTTCTTTCTGTTTGCATCATGCTGCATCAACGACTGTGGCATAGAATAGTTTGTATGATTTTTCATTGGTGCTTTGCCCCTCCCTTTTGTAAGCGAATCTCATCGTCGGATATGCATAGGGATTAGGGAGAATTATTGCACTGTTGAACTTGTTTATAAATTTCTTTGCTGAGAACATCTTATCTTAATATCCTTCTTCTCAATTGTACCTTTGACTTTTCTCTTCTAATAGTCGCTTGTTATAAAAATTGAGTTCAGTACAGTCTGGAAGCTGTAGCTAAACCTTTGAAAAAGGGAAACTTAGAGGAGCTATATTTGTGTCGGGGACTTGGAGGAGACATAATGTGGCACTTTAAATCACACATGGTCACGCTAGATGTTGCTGTATCATTGTGTCTGTGTCAGACTTCTGTCCTATGATTGTTTTAGTCTGTTCTTCTTGGAGTTAAATTGATTCTCAGCCTTCTTTTGCCATAGGTGTGGATATCAGCATGAATACACATTTGAAAACAGTTAAGCTTACTCTGAAAGGGAAGAATCCAGTGACCCTGGATCATCTCAGTGTGAGGGGTAACAACATCCGCTATTATATCCTTCCTGACAGCTTAAATCTTGAGACCTTGCTGGTTGAAGAAACACCTAGGGTGAAGCCCAAGAAGCCTACTGCAGGTGGTACCATATTCAGTTTGATTACAAGACTGACTGTTTATACAAACACTTTTGGCTCTGGTTACTTGTTATTTAATCATTTCTGATTTCATTAATTTCGATTGCATTTGCAGGAAAGCCATTGGGCCGAGGCCGGGGTCGCGGACGTGGACGTGGAAGAGGTCGTGGCCGTTAAGTTTGAAATTTTCAGAGTTTTTGTGGTATGTAGTTGTTAACCAATGTTGTATGGAGACATTATGGGCGGTTAAGGAACACTGGAGAAGCAGTACCGTTAATTACTGAGGATGAGTTTGTCTGGACACTTTGTTGTAAGTGTTACTGCTTATAAGTGTAAGATCACCATCAAGCTGATGCGACCTGAATTATCTGCAGGCTTATTATTAATGGGTAAATGGTGGCATCCATTTTAATTAGTATCGACGGATCTCCCATAATTTCTTTATGAAACAGAATTCTGTGCTTTCTTTGTAGGATGCTTAATGAGAGTCTCTTGTGAATGACAAAGTGCCTTATTGATATCGATCTCTCTCCTTGCTTCATATATGAATCACGTTTCATGAAATCTGTGTGGACTAATTCCACTTTGTTATAATCATATGATGCACTGAGTTTGTTGGTTTTTGTTGTAACTTGGAAACATACAGCGACTCACGCGTCGTATGTTAATTATGATGTTGCATTCTGGACTTCAGTCCTGGCCCTCATATATTTTTCAGTCAGCATCTAACCCCTCGAATCTCAATTCCTTTCTCAAGTAATCACAGAATATACATATTTCATTTTAGTGGGATAATTGGACCAGGCCCTCCATGGGGTTTAATTACATGCTGCTTACGTTTAGTGTTTATAAACATGTTATAAAGACAAAACTTCCTTTACCTCGTATTATTGATGACTCAATATGTATATATGTACTACACTCGCAAGTGTATGAGAAAAATAGATCAAGAGCTCAAATTTAAAAATACATTAATTCCATCCAATGAAACTACGAAGTACAAGTCATCACCGTAAAAAACAATAAAAACTTTAACAGCTTTTATTAAACAGAGGGTTTAATTTGTTATTCATAAATTTTGAGCAGTATGATTTATATCATGCTTTGACCATACTTACTTTTTTATCTGAAAACTATAATTCCTTCCATAAAAAAGTATAATTTAATTATAAAAAGCATGTTTAGTTAATGGCAAAGAAAAGAAAGGAATGATAAGGATCGTGACCCCTGAATATATTATTTTCTCTTAAAATTATATAGATGTCATGCATGTCTGGCCCCAAAATCATGAGAACTTTGTATCACATGTCTCATTTAATCTCAATCCCCTTATTCTTAACTCTTGACTACGCTCCTTAGCCTAGTTATTAACATGTGCTCTCTACTTTTATTGCTTTAATTCAAATCCTATACTAAACATGTAAGAGAAATTATTTTTGTTTGAACATGCGTGCATTCAACATCTACGTCATCTTATTTATTTTGTTGCAATCTGCCTTCTATTTTTCTTGGGGCCAACTTAATGGACATCTTTTCAGATTTTTTGTTTTCGTGTACAGTACATTTATTGCAAGAATCTTTCAAATAATTTGTCCAAATGGGCTAGGGGAGAGTTCTTGGCTACTCAATCCAATGGGTGCGTGCCTTGTCAGGGTATGGGCAACATTTGGATGGTAGCGAAACGAGAGCACCACATATGTGGACTAAGTGGAAATATCTTTCTTTGTACAGGCTTCATAAGAATAAATATATAAATATATATATTATTGCATTCACTATTATCTTCAGCATATATATTAATCAACTAGCAGCCCATCTGCTTCATACCTTTCAACACTCTCATTCTTCCTCCTCTATTCCCCTTCCGAACACATCAACGTGTGATAATAAGCAAGCTCTTGGAATTATTTATGAGGAACTATGCTCAAACATATCATATGATTACCTAGCTGAGATGTTAATTAAAACAAACACAACCAAAGCCTCATTAATTGCATTAAGTGAGGTTCACTGTTATTATACTCCATCTAAATCCAGTTCTTTTGATAAATCATTAACTAAGAGATCTCGATTAATGACTCTTTTAAGTATCCTTTTTGTCCTCCTCCTACTTTTTTTCACAAGACTAAAGACTATTTACTCACCCCTCTTTACTGGTGTTTCTAATGACTTTCTTTGCACGTCACTAATCATTTTAAATAATTTTTTACTGTTTTTTTTTCGTCAATAGATGCAACACCATCTCATCCTCTTATATAATCATTATATATCTTGTTTTTTCTTACGTAGCCACACATTCCATTTCAATACTCAACATTCCTTGCCATGTAATATCATTTTTGTCATAGTGATCGATATGATAAAAATTTTCTTTAAGCTTAGAAGGGACTTTGCGATCACAAAGAACTCATGATGTCTTCCTCCATTTCATCCACCCTGGTCTTGTATATGCGTAATTAGTTCATCATCAATTTCATTGTCATTTTGTAGAATCAATCCCAAATACTTAAACTTTCGGACATGTGGTTATCGTTTGCCGTTTAATCTTTACCTCCAAATCACTTCTAACTTGCCTCTTATTAAATTTGTAACGCATGTATATACCATGTCTTGCTTCTGCACAAGCGAAAGTCATTTGATTCCAAATTAAAGTTCAGCTTCGTAACTCCAATTTTGAGTTAACCTCTTCTCAGGACTATCTCATTTATAAATGGTATGCACTTGGGGATTTTCTCTCGAATAAGCTCAGTTAAGACATGTAAAACCAGGTCAAACAAATATGAACTTAAAGATGATATTTGATGTAAACCAGTTCTTACAGAGAAGTCATTTATCTCACCTCCAAGTGTTCTTGTTCAAACCATAAAACCCTTGACACTAAGATCATAAGCTTTTTCAGATCAATAAATTGCATATGCAAGATCTTTTCCCTTATCCGGATACTGCTTCGTCAACCCTTTAACCAATAATTAAATAGCCTTCGTTTTTTTTGGGAGACACATGTCTTGTTTCTCAATCTGTGATCTATCACTCTTTTCCATAATTTTATAGTAAGATGTCAATTAAAACATTGATTTTTTTCCCAGATGAATGAATGACCGGACTGATCTGTTCAATGATATATAATACTGAAATGTTGAAATGTACATGTATGTACATGTGGATCCATCAAGAAAGGAGTATGTAATGTGTAGAAGATGAAGTGGGGTTGTCGTGAAGGAGGAATTCTGGGGGGGGTACCCCACAGATCACGTGAAGGGGGTGCCCTAATGGTAATCACAGAATTGGACAAAGAAATAGTCATTTACAATCTCCTCTAATCCCCTCCCAACCAATTATCATTTATCTCCCACGTGGGCCTCTGGACCCCACTCCCCTCAATCACCCTCGCCACTTTATATATTGTACTCTTTTACCCTCTTTTGCATCTGTCTCCTTCACTGCTACTTTGATCTCCTTCCCTCTTTAATTCTTCATATCTTTTCTGTTACATTTATTGCGTATTCCCTTCGCCCTCACTTCACTTGCATTCAATTCCCATATTAATTCTCAGATCCTCGATCAATCCTCTGATTTGAAGATCACCAACCAATTTTATAGGCTATCACACACGCACACATAGGATCGATCATATATATTATGGGAGACTCTTCTTCATCTTCTTCATCTTCTTCATCAACTTCTGCTGCTTCATACATTCATATGGTATGCTCTTAATTTGCATACTCTTTTTAGTTATAAGCTTGCTAGCTTCAGCTCTCTCTTATTGATTTGATATACGCACACCCACAAACATGAAGATGATGAAGATTGCAACAAGTTGACTGATCAAATTATGACTATGATGTTTGGTTGATGTGTGAGATCACAGGTGCAGCATCTGATCGAGAAGTGTTTGACCTTTCACATGACAAAGGAAGAGTGCATGGAAGCCCTTTCTAAACATGCAAATATTAAGCCTGTCATAACATCCACAGGTATATTTTGTGTGTGTGTGTGTGTGTGTGTGTTTTAATATATTTACTCCGCTTCTCATTGTGTGTGTATATAAACTACTTTTACTGTCTCTTCCTACCTCCCCACCATGAAAAGATCATAACTTTATATACAAGTCTACGGCTTTCTCATCAACATGTCATTTCGAAAGACTTTCTGCACTCAAGCTCTCATTATTATAAGCTTGAATATATGATCACAACAGCCAATAAGTTTTACTTTATAGCTTGACTCAGTTACGCAGGTTTAGATAGTATATATAGGGTCTCATATTTGAGTTTTGTGGACAATTTTTCGTATTGGGACTTTCTTAATCTGCACTTGACTTCACAAATATGATCTAAGCCAAAAACATGTTTTTTTGTGTGACTCTCTGCAATATTTGGTGCCTCAGGGAGTTTAAACAATTGCGGTTAAGTCTTTTTCAACCGCAGATGTAATAATTGTCGCCAACTAACTTAACGACAACTGAATATCCAGTGCAAATGAGAATTATTACAACCCCTTTTTTATTTGTACAGAAGGGGGAAAAAATACCTGTTTAATAGACCAGATCTGGATCCTCTTATATCTATACACCCACAAGTTGACACAACATATATATGTATGTGCTGAAATGGAAAGAAATGGTACGCATGAGAAACACCAAATCTAAATATGCGGCTAGAAATCACTAAAACTTATACGGTAGGCTGAGTTGTTTCCCTTCTGAACCATACATACATATATATGTGTGCGTTTGTGATTCATAGTTGCTGGCTCAAATTGCAGTATGGAACGAGTTGGAGAAAGAAAACAAGGAATTCTTCGAAGCATATGCAGAATCGAAGAGTAAAGACGATAGAATGTCCGAAGAAGAGACAAGTCAGATGATACAGAAGATGATCTCTGATCATTCCTCCTCTAAAGATGCAGACTAATAATCCATCTGCCATTGACAACGATCTCTTCCTGTTCTCTTGTGTTTTAATATATTCACTTGCGATTTACGTACTTTGTCTTCTTCGACCCCGAAAGCACACAGCCTACTCTCTCTCTCTCTCTGTGTCCCCGGAGAATCTTATTTCTACCGTACGTACATGGTCCCATGCAAGGTTTCTTGTCTTTCTATATTTCTGTCTAATGTTGTTATCATCAGCTTCTTCAAGGAAAGGTCGGCGTGCCACGCAAGCAGCAAGAGGATAACTTGTATGTGAAATTTGATGTCTGATAATAATGTAAGATGCTGATATGGCGTTTACTGATTGGATTCTGGTGCCTGCGAAATCTTTCAATATATCAACATCACTTTTATTTACGCAGGCGGAGAAGTGAGAATCCAAGAATCGGAGCTACGAAAATATTATTTGCAAATTCTAACTTTAGATTGTATTTAATCCTTGCTCTTAGACTTTGGTTTAATTAATAATAATGTAATGTCTGTGAAGAGATCAATTTTAGATCCTATATATTTGAATATGTTAAAATAAAATAATTCTAATTAATTATTTTGAATAATTAATAGTCTTAATTAAATAAAGATAACATCTTATCTTATCTTGTCCTGTCATGTCTTTAAAAAATACTCTTCCGATCCTAAATATAAGACTCTTATACATACTAGTATAAAAATTTAATATTTAGGACCAGAAGAGTATATTATTAGATTTATGGTCAAGAATTTTGATATTGGACTCACCAAACTCATCTTACAATTGCCAACTACTAGGATTCGGAGACATTATCATCACCTTTTATTGACGCAAATACTAATTAATCTTGGTAATATCCAATTCTTTTGTTTTTTGATACTATCATCCGGCTAATACGTTCAAGGTTCGTGGCTTCTCCTCTCTACAAAGGTGAATTTATATATAGAGATGAATTTATTTATAATAATATGAAGGTCCTCACCAGTGGGGATGATAATGTATTAGAATCTCTAATAAAAATCTAATGATATATACAATATATTCCTTTACTTTTTAGGAATCTGATATGAAAGTGTCCTTTGTTCAAATCAAATCCAATTTATGAACTGGTGAACTACTCCTCCCACTTTTCATGCGAGAGTTACTTGCAGATAAATTAAGAAAGCTAAATTGATAAATTATTTTTTTAAACAAATAAATTAACGAATTACTTAATTCTAATAAATATGACATGTTTTTTCTAAAATATTTTTAAGTAACATTAGATTATAAATTTATGAGAAAAATGATCAATATGAAAGATTAAATGAGTTAAGATCTTATATTTAGAATTAAAATTAATTTCCTAACAAGCTTCTAACTGGATGAGTAATTTTTCACACATAAATTTAAATGTGACTTTAGTTATTGTTAGTTTTGTTACCATATAAGGTTAGCTCCATTATCGCCATCGATATGATTTGAGGTTTTTCCTCAATTTCTTCATTTTCCAACAAGTTAATTATTAAATCACAAGACAGAGTAACGACCTTTCTGATAGAAGTTCTAATTTTCAACCGCTATGTACAACTGCTTAGGTGCAAAATACACACGCACGCACGCCCGCACACTAACAAAGAATCAAAATCTTAGGACCTCTACTAATTCTTCCACTCTTTAAGAAATATTATTGTGGAAGGAGGGGGCAGGGTCGGTGGCAAATGGCAAATGTTTCTGACTTTCTGGAAAAGCAAAACTGGGGCCCTCAAATGAAGTTAGGACTTAGGAGAAGAGTAGTGAGCAAGTTCAATCGCTAGATCCGTTTGGAGTAGCGATTGAAAAAGTAGTTTATTGTTAATTTGATTTTTAGAAAAGCAAAATTAGATAAAAGTTAAATTGAATAAACTAAATTGTGTTTAGATTGAAGATTAGAAAAGTTAGTTTGTAAAAACAGGAGTGGTAATACGGGCTAACCCACAGGTTGCGGGTTGGCCCGTGACGGGTTTAACCCATATGGGTCGGGTTGAAAAGTGTTGTTTAAAGGAAGGTTGGCTTTTAGCCAACCCTAACCTGTCAAGATGGATTGGTGGGTTGGCTCGCCAACCCGCCAACAATTATTTATTTTTTTTAAAAGTTTTTTTCTTATTCAATATTTAAAAAAATATAATGAGATTTTTATTTTTTTTCTTGAAATATTTGATTGGAAGTACTAAATAAATTATATAGGTATTTTTTAAATTTTTTAGATATAATATTATATATAATAATACAATTATAATAATTTTTAAAAATTTTAAAAATAAAAAAAATAAAAAATAAATAAATGTGGGTTAGCCCGCCAATGGGCTGCAGGTCTGACAGTGCGGGTTAGAAAATTCGTTTACTGGTGGGTTGGCTTTTAGCTAATCCTAACCCATTATTTTTGGCTGGTTGGACCTCCATATTACCAGTTCTATGTAAAAGTGAGATTAGTAAAAAGTTGTTTGGATTATAATTGAATAAAAGTAAGTTTAGTTATAAAATGATCAAAATAGGTATGAGTTTTAATAAATAATGAAACATGATTAAAAAAATGATTTTATATAATACCATGAAATTAAAATAATTTAGTATGAAGAAGTCAAATTTAATAAGTGAATTAAATTTTAAAATTGCAAATCCAACATTTTAATTTCTAAACTTTCTCTTTTTTATTAATATTTTTATGAGTTATTAATTTCAATTCTCTTCTAACAAAATAAATCTCAGTCTCACCTTTATTTTTTTAATAAAAAAAATGGATCTTTAGTTGCCACATGGTGTCACCAGGATGGGGATATAGATAACGCCTGCCATGTGCTTGCAAATATAAGGCAGATGGGAGAGAAAAATTAAAAGGGCCTGACACATTTGCAAAACGGCTATGAGCTCTTCAAATTGGAAAATAAGCTCTCTCCTCCTAGCTTATTCCAACTGCATGTTCAGAGGGCTTAAAATCCAATAAGCCTAATACATTATAAGCCCTGCCAAACATCACACCATCTTCAATCAGACTTATCTTCAAATTTAAGTTACGTTTGGACCGGCAAACACTAATCCAAACAAGTATATTATTGTGGAAATATACATGGGCCTGAGCTTAAATGCCTTATGCCCAATAATAAGGGAAGCCTATTGCATCGTCTGTTTCTTCGTCAAGATCCAAAATTTCTGCTCCCGTTCGGCTTCCATGACCAAAGCACAAGCGTTCGGATGGGGCCTGGCTTGATTCGTTACACAGAACTTGCAAACAACATAATGGTTTGTTACAGAACATATGCGTGCGTGTATAGAAAGAGAGAGAGATGGATGGGCTGGTTCAAGGCAGAAGAAGAGGAGGAAAGGTGAGGATTAAGAGAGAAAGGAGTCCCACATCGAGCAGAAATAGAAGTTGAAGGGGGAGAAGTGGGTATAAATACGAGGGAGGGTGCAACGGTCAAAGGTGCCTTAAACTAATGAGTAAGGAAAACAAAGCGAGCGGTGGGAGCCGGTCGCAGCGCTGAACCAAATGGGCGCAAGAATTTATGGAGGGGTGATAGGCTGGCCGAGCGTTGACGCTGCTTACTTTGCAGAACTCGCTTGTGCGGGCCTCCCAACCCAACCCCCTGATACTCAGTTTGCAACCTTTGATTCTCTTCCCTGGGTTTATTGCAAGACGCCCTTTTGATGTGTTATCCGCCTTGTACGCCCAAAATTTTGAAGTTCCTTCAGTTTATTCAAAACAATAAAAAATAAAGTACTTTTGTAAAATTTATAAATTTATAAGTTAAAATAGATTTTATATTTAGGAGAAACAATGATATTTTTTCTTTATACTAATATTAATTCATATTTTTAATATGTTTAATATTATGGAGTTTTGTTTAGTTTTTATTTTGGTTTTAAATAGAAGATTTAATAATTTTTTTTAAAATAGTTTTTTTAATAATAGTAGTTCTAATTAATATATTTGATTAATAAATTTATAAATTAAAATAGATTTTATATTTAGGAGAAATAATAACATTTCTTTTTTTATACTAATTCATATCTTTAATATATAGTTTTGTTTAATTTTTATTTTAATTTTAAATAGAAGATTTAATAATTTTTTTGAAGTAGTCCTTATAACAATAGTAGTTCTAACTAATATATTTGATTAATAATGATATTTTAAAAAATATTTATTTATTATAAATAACAAACTTAATTTATTTTTTTAATCTATTCAAATTAGTAGTTTATATATTTAGAATGTAGTATTATATTTCTTTTTTTTTTTTTTTGGACTCAAGGTAGTATTATATTTCGTTGTAGCCAAGTTCAACCAGAGGTCAGCAAAGATAAAACGTACTCTCTCTTGTAAGTTCGATTAGTGAATGTAATTTCCTTCACCGCACGTATAAACTAAAACTTTGACTATCAACAAACAAACAAAAAAAATCAATTTTGTGGCATTTGAAATTATCGTATTACTCTGACGCACCGTGGGTCGGAAAAAAGGTTTTGTTGACTTGCACTCTAGTACTTGCCCAACCACAATTGGCCTGTCAAGTAAAAAGTTTTAGACGAATCAAGCGATTTGAATTTCATTCTTTTTCCCTTTCTTATTGAACATAAAACGACTTGTTTCGGGTGAAAAATAGCAATTCATTAAATTTATGCTCTGGTAACTATTTTGTTGTATTATACATGTTCCATGCATAAATGTTTTATTATATTTTAATTAAATGGCCAGCTTGATTTTCAGCACGTAGAGAACACAATTTACGTTTGAGATTCATCCAAAATAAGAATTTAAACCATTTCCAAATTCCGTAGCCATTGGATTGGTTCTGCATAAACATAAGATTAAGTAACAAAGCCGTTCAGTGTCATGACCCTCCCATAATAGCAGGTTGACAAGGTTTTCCAACGGCAATACACTACGACTTTAAATACTTTGCCCTTAGCCCAGCGATGCACGAGGTAGCTCCTAATTTCCGTTTCTACAATTCACTATTCAAAGATCCGATCAGAGGGCCCAAGCCTTACCAAGTAAAAACCATGAGTACTACTTGCATATCCTAACGCACCCTGCATTATATCTGGGACTGGGAGCCTCTTCGAGGTGCACCGTTGCCATGATCCAAAAGATGGCGCGAAAAGTTTGGCTTCTCGTCAGAAAAACTTGCACCTCCTACAAATTAAACCATAATTCTTAGTTTAGATTCTCATTTATGCCAAAAATGACTCGAATTTTTAATTCATGTGGGGAAAGAGGACAAACTGAAACTTACTGCTGCTATGAGTAAGATTGAGCATGCTCAGGTTTATGTGAGTACTCATAATCAAGATGAACAAAAGCGCGCTCAATCTCAGGCAAAAGCTCTAGCTTTTCTTGCAATGATTCCCCAATATCATGTGCTTCTTGCAGGGGCATGTCGGCTGGCAGGACAATATCAACCTCAACAAAGTAATGAGACCCAAAGGTGTAAGCCCGGACCGTATCAATGTGCCTTATGGCCTCGTGATGGTTCCAGCAGAGGTACGTGAGCTTCTGCAAATACTCCGGTGCAGCTGATCTTCCAACCAACGAATTCACATTTTCTAACACTGTCAACGACCATGTGCGAATGGTGTACAAAGCAAGCTGCAGCGGAATAATCAGATTTAACAAATAAGCAGATGCAAGTTAAATGTTCGAAACTTCAAGTGAAAATATCAAGTCATTTGCTTCTTTGGATCGCATTGTACAAAGTAACTAGTGATGGTTAATTATAGTTCTCGTTGTCTGACATGGTGCAGTAAAGTAAGCGTCAATTCATTACTGCATTCCTTGGTGCAATTAAAAAAGACAGCCAGTCCAGCATACAGAAAGGTCAAATGGAGACTAAAAATTTCAGTAAATAAGAATGTTAAAAACATGACTGTAGAATCTGGGATCACAGCAAAGGCAGAGTTGGCAGGACAAGAATCTGTTTCCACGTCCCCAAAGCTATAGGTTCGTTACCTTTGTTGCAAGTACTCAATCAGCAAAAAATAGATTTAAAAGTCATAATAATCAGTAATTTTAGCCAGTGATGCAGCAAAAAATATCAACAGATTAATATTTTAGCGATAACTTCAAAGTCATGTAGTGAAGATTTTACTTACAATAATAGCACCCATAGGATCTATCCAATCATCAAAATAATTAGCCAAAAGTGCAGCAATAAGGCCAATCACGTTAGTAATCACATCAAAAAAGTGATCCTGGGCATAGGCTTTGACAATTTCATTACTGAAGGCGCGGCAATAAATCATCAGTAGGAATTTCACCAGCGTCCCTGAAAGCATTATTCCCACAACCCATCGCTCTTGCTCAATGGTCAGATTGAATTCACTTTCCTGCAAGATCATTGGTAAGAGCCATCCAGACATTGAGTTGCACTTACTAATATATATATTTATATATAATGTTTACTAATGTTAATAACAAGATATAATGTCTACTAATGGGGGAGGGGAAAAGTTTGACTAAAAGTTTGAGCAGAGATGAACTCACATCCGATATTAGAGCACGCACTGACTCCAAAATTATTTGCAGTCCCAATGTTGCCATGACAGAGGCAAAAACAAGAATTCCCTAGAGCCCAAGTTTTGAGATCACAATGTTAGCCCGTACTTGCTGCTGTAATGTATCAAACTACCACTAACATTCAAACTATCAAAATTCACTTCCTAATTGAGGCATGCAACATATGCATGCACTATACATAAACTTGAATCAAGAATCCAAATAAGAAAACAGTTCAAGAATCCAAAGAACCCAAGGTTGACACAGTTCTTTCAACCTAGAATCTATCAATAACAAATTTATTCTCACAAGCAGTAAAGGAACCTTGGAAGATATAATGATATATGCTGCACTAACTTTCCAAACTAATAGGGAAATTATAAACATCCATTGGATAAAGAGTAAACTAAATTTTGTGTTTTCTTTTTTGGAGTAGGGTTTCCTTTTGAGTAATACAAAGGTAATCCTCATTTTGTTTCAAGGTTGTTTTTGAGAGTAGCGCTTCTCTCAAAGTCTCAGCAAGAGAAAGTAAGCGGACAAAAAGTGAATAAAACTTCACTTTGCCACTGAATCACAAAATTATTAAACAATTGGGAAAAAATCAACAACAGCCAAGGCATAAAAATGCAGAAATCATACTTTTTTTCTATACACGCAGAAATCATACTATCATAGGATGCCTCATCAATCCAAGGTTGGTTTTGTATCGTGTAATCCATAACTAAGAAGGAAATAAAAAAGCTTGTAAACAAATAATCTTGAAATATGTGAATTGAGAAAGTAACAAAGCCCTTCAGAATGTAAACATGTCATTCAGAATTGTGTAGGTTGCATGCAATTGATACGCATAAAAAAGATGGATCTTCAAATAAAAATATAAAAGAAATAAATTATTAAAATAAGAGGAAATGCTTAGGGGACTAACCAAAGGTTGCATCCGCTTCTTTCCTATAGGGTACTGATATGGGTTACGTGTTTGCATGGAAAATGCAGTGAACCAGAGAATGAATCCAGAAAGTAGGTCAAGAAGCGAGTCCAAAGTGGATGCGATTATGGCTAGGGACCCACTTTTGATGCATGCTAAAACTTTAGCAGCAAAAAGGACCATGTTTGCTATATTGGATAATCTTATGGCAAACGTCTCGCTTCTTGCCAAGTGTTCTCGGTCCTCCTGTAGAGAACAATGAATGTTCAGTAGAGTGATTTGATTATTATTTATCAATCTAAAACCCAAAGATGACTCCGCGTGTAAAACCTTTGACATTCCAGGAATAAACCCACGCTCTGCTAAGGCATCCATTTCATTAAACCCCTCAAGCACTTCGACCTGCTGCTGATAATACTCAGCTACATTATTTTCTGGAGCTGGACCTGAGCCTGAAGAATGAGAAGCGAAATTTAAGACATTGATTCATTCAATTCCCCTGTCCCCACCTCCAAATTAAAAAGAGAAAAGAAAAATCATTTGTTGCATGGAAATACTACCCACACTTGAAGAATATTCCCATAGCAACACAGAATGTAGGCAAATCATTCCACCTCTCCTGAAGGGGCTATAGTTTTTTGGAACGTCCAACACACACACACATCTACTGATGATGGGAAATGTCACATATAACTTGTGCATCCAACTTCTGAGAAGCTCCGTTTCATGAATGCATCATAATACAGTCTCAAGTTTTACTGTAATTGGGTTATAGAGTTTGATAGTATGGCCCAAAACGAAAAACAAAACAACCCACGCAACTGAAAATACACAAGGTGAAATTACAACAGGCAGAGTGATAAGCAAACATTTGATTCAGACCTTTTAGTGCGCACAACTTCAAGTGAAGTTATGAAGCTATAGTAACAGCCGATCAGCCAAAAACTCTATGCGCCAAGTCTATGTAACTAATTCAAAGTTTAGAAGTGGAAACCCAAATATAAAATGCCAATCAGCCCAAAAGGCACCAGTCCACAATCCAAAGCATTTCTCCTCTAGCACATGTAAAATCCAAAAGTCTAGCTCCCAGTTATCTCAACTTCTGGTCTTCTACAATTCAAAACACAAAGAAAGAGCAAGAGAAGACATGTGTATGAAATATCACACTTCACCCACAGTAATTCGCATGCACATATCAGAACAACGAAGCTCAAAATGTACTGAGATCCAAAATACATGCCTACCCTCTTACCAAACACATATTACTTAGATGAAGAAGACAAGCTTCCTCTAGTCCCCGTGGATGCTATCTAGAATAACAGCGAAAAGGGTCGACTAGCAGTGCAGAGAATACGCAACTAGAGCAGAAAAGCCTATCAATTCCGCATTGGAAGAAAAAGAATACAAAATGATCACAATTTCACAAATGCCAATCAACTACAGCCGTAGGTTAAAAGGTGACTAGCAATCTGCAGATTCCCCATTAATTATTAAAAAAAAAAAACCGCCCCTAGAATTATGATAAAGATGTTACCGGTAACTATACTTTGTCCAAAGTAGAATGAGACAGATATCGCGGGGAGGACATATTCTGCTTACCCAGAACACCAAGGCAGTCGTGCAGGCTACGTGGAGACTTCTTCTCCTTGCGCTCTGAAGATAACTGAAAGCCGTCAAAGTTCAACCGCCAGGACTGGTCACCATTGTTGCTCGGTCCCAGCAAAGAGAGCTCCTCGTCATTCTGTAGCTCCGCCGTCTCCACCATTTTCCGGTCACTGAAGAGTGAACCCGTACAGTCACTAGGCTCGGCGAGCAGTACCTGATCGCGAGCGGAATGAGAGAGGATTTGAGGAACAGATCAACGGAGGCGAATGATCGGGGTAGTTGATGATGAATCGTGTTGTGATGATATATAATCGTAAGATTTTCGAACCAATCAAGTGGGAAACGTGTAAAGGGGAGAGGAAGGGGAGGCAAATGCGGATCCCGAACGCGCGTTAATGCACGCGCCGATCGCGTGATTCAACCTTGGCAGCAGATTCTTTGGCGGAGAGAATGAGATGACGGCTTCAGCCTTCAATGCTTCCGTCGAATCTCTATAAAATATATCCCTAAACTACTCTTATAATCAGAGACACATATCTTACAATGCTTAATAATAATTCATTAAAAACTACTTGAGTCTCTTTCAAGATATCTTGCTACCAAATCTAATATTTGATGATATAAAACTTTATAAAATTGTTTATAACTTTATATCATCAAAATCTAATAAAATACTTACACTATTCATTATTCATAATTTTATACATAAGTGTGTGTTGTTTATATTAATATTAATTTTAAAATATTATAATTTTGATAGTTGTTATTAATCTAAAATAAGATTAAGTTTATGATAATTTTATTTAGAATAAAATAACATTTAATACCCTAACATTATTTTCTAAATACATCTAGCATTTAAACGTTTTTTTTCCTACTCACAAGCTACGACACCTAATCTTATCTTATTTATAATGTATTCAATATTTTAAATTATAAATAAAATTAGGGTGAGTCAAAGGTACTAGATGCATTAGAAAAATAGTACTCTTTCAGTCCTAAATATAAAACATTTATACTCTTATATTTAGAATAAGAGGAGTATTAAGATGTTATATACACCATAAATAGAATTAGAATACTTGATACATTTGAAAAATAATGTCAAGACAATCGAGCTACTTTCCCTTTTTTATTTGATATTAAACATTTTTTGCCATTTACATTTACTCATATTTTATTTCAAAAATCGTTTTATGCCTATCCTATCACATGTTGCACGCGAACTTTTTCCCCCCTTTGAGTTTCCATTCTTTGATTTGCTCGCAGTTGCGTGTAGCCATTAAGCTCTTCCATCACAAACGGACGCAAATAAAAGCTTCCCTCTATTTCAGTCCCTATCTAATTTCACCCTACATAAGGTCTGAAAATAGTAGGGGGGAAAAATCTTTGAAGTTTCTCAATAATTGGAACTTTTTTTTCAAAAGAAAAAGAAAAGGTGAACTTGATGCCTCTATCAGTGTTTGCTAATTGCTACTAATAGAGAATATTCCTGGCCTCAAGGAGAAAAAAAAATTAAATGGAGTGCAAAGGATGAATTCTATTAATTACGGGGGGGTAAAATTAATTATAACTAATATGGGCAGGATAAAATCCCAACATCCGACCGCATATACGAATTACGAGGGGAAAGCCGAAAGGAGGCAGGCTTCGGGCAAAAAAAAAAAATCCAAAAAAGTAGGCAGGCACGTGAATGATGGTCCCCGACTGGCGGGGCCCTTGCTTTGATTTGAGACTGTTCTAGGCGGTGGCAGCGAGCCATTCATCTATCGGCCAATGGCTTCATGCAACGTGGTGTGTTTATGTGAGGACGCCCGCGTTGGATAGTGACCTGAATATTTGTAAGGATCATTCAATTAGAATAATGTTACCAAAATCCCAAATTGCCCCTTTTCTTTAACTTTTTAAAAGCATATGTATACTATTATATTAAAGGCCTGACGATATATAGGTACTAAAAATGGTATTGGCCAAAAAAAAAATAGGAGTATATTTTTCAAGCAAAAATTTAAACATTAGGATTCAAGAGAGTTGATTTGTCAAAGTCCTCCACCAACTTTGGTGTTTTTTCCCCTAAACATAGTCGTGTTTAAGATAATATTAAACATTAAATATTTTAATGGATACTTCTCCTAATAAAAATTCAAATCCTAATCAGTCATATATTGTGAAGAATTAGTTCTTTTATTAAAATAATGTTTTTCCAATTCTAAATATAAAATATTTTATAATGTACTACCTCCGGTCCTTAATATAAGATCCTATTTAATTTTTATTTTGGTCTTAAATATAAAACCTCAATCCACTTTGTCTCTCATATTTATATTTTTTTTTCAAAGTAGTCATTTTAACAATGATAGTTCTAGTCAATACACTTGATTAGCAATGATATTTTAGAAAAAACAACGCCTATTTAGGACGAATAACTAACTCAATTTATTTTTTTAATCTCTTTAAATTAATTAACTAACTCTTACAATTAAGATCGGAGGTAATAATTTATATTACAAAACAAATTTTAAACGGAGGAAGGTATTTTTATGACTTTTCGGGTAATGTGATGGACAGGGGGCTTGGGCGCTTGGCCAGAGGCCGCCGAACATACACGGAGAAAATCAAGAGATGCTCCTTGGTTGTACTGTTCGCCCTTGCCACGTCATACAACAAAATGCTGACTCACACCACTCTGCCTGCCCTCCCACCTGTCTTGTTCTTGCCTTCAAGGCTTCCCTTCCTCTTTTCTCATATGTTTGTCCTACGTGTATAAAGCCATTGTTTTTTTTTATTAATATTGTTCTACATCTTTAAATTTAATCTCACTTTGATTTTAATCAACTGTTTGTCTTCTAGAAATATTCCCGAGCAGCCATTAGATATTACTATCTTCGGTCATAATTATAAGACTTTATTTATAGACTACAAACAAAATCTTATAATTAAAACCAGATATAATATTAAAAGTCATTAATATGTGCCTCCAAGTTTTGTTTGTTTTATATGCTAAGCACTTCATGTATAGATTTCGACACAAAACAATGATATGGAGTGAAATGGCAATTCCCATGACACCACCCAATTCTTTCCTTCTTTGCCACTCTGCCTCCGTCTAAATAAAATTCAACCTATTGGCTTTGTTCACCATCAGTTCATCCCCAGGCCCAATTATCAGGACGTTCGGCCCATTAACACCTTGCTCATGGTCCCAATCCATATTATAATAAAGCCCAGGCCTGTCATCACAAGTGAAAAGACATAAATGCCCTTCTTTCTCGGCTACCATTCCCTCCCTGTGCATCTATATTCTCGTGTTACTATTAACAAAATCATGACTTAAGTTGACAAAATAAGAGAGTTCATTACTCACGCATGGGACATTGAATTAAAAGGTATGCCAAGAGATCAAAAATCAGCCTGCAGCTGCTTTGGTCAAGAGAGGTTTTTCCAACCCGTCCCTTTTTGCTTCTTCTTTTTATATATAGATATATATGTATATATATAGGTAAAATTTAAGTGAATTGAGTCTCAAAAACATATCAGGACAAAATCTTGTTTAAAACTGAGTACTTGAATTTTTTTTTTTTGGTTGTTTTAAGTATCCTCTCACCCGAATAACAAGAGACTAATTTTTAGAAATACTGTCAGGCGTCACAGTGATAATCCCTCCCAATAATGTTTTTTTCCCACACATACTACTCCAAGAATCGAATTCAGAACATGATATTTAAAGTGTCAAAGTTTTTTTTTCCTTGGACCAATACTTGTTAGTGAGTACTTGAAATTTAATCCCCATTGGTTTGTTTAGTTTGTTCGGGCTCTAACCCTCTTATTTAGCAAAAAAAAAAAAAGAGGTCAGGGCCATGCCAGTGGCAGCTGAGGAATGCACATCAAAGCAAGAGATGCTCCACCGTCTGACGTCATTCCCTTCTTGTTTTATGCTCTCCGGCTTTACACTAATATAAGCACATATGGAGGGGTGTGTGTATATATATCATATGCCCATTTTATCCAAAATGTTAGTTAATTTTTTATTTTTAAACCGGAAAGGCAAGATATTCATATCTTATCCTTTTAAGATATTTCATGCTATACATTGGTTAATTTATTATAACCTCTTTATTATCTCAATAAAATAGAACATATGATTTGAATGTAAACTCATGTGCATCTCTATCGTATATTCATAATATCGGATAATTGGATTAAATGATTATTTAATCAAGGATATGATTATATTTTAAAAATAAATTAAATCATACATGTCTAATATTTAGATTATTCAGATGGTATAAATTAAATTACTTATTTAATCTATATTGTACCACTCTATTCCTTATTATAAGTCACTTGTACCCCAAAAGTTTGTTTCAAAATATAAGTTACTTGTAGTATAATTAATGATCTTTTTTCAATTTTACCCCTATTAATTTAATAAAAATTAATTAAGTCTGAAGTAATGGCTCCTCGAAACACGTCCTTCTCCCTCTCCCTCTCTATCTCTATCTTTCAACTTTTCATTTCCTATTCAGCCCATCCCCTCCCTCCCCCCTCTCTCAACTTTTTAATAAGGGTAAATGCGAAAAAAACCGGTTAATTTAATGTATTTCTTGGTTTACAGGTTTGGGATACAAGTGATTTATAATAAGAAACATGGTGGTATTATCTCCGATCCTAATTATAAGATATCATTTATTGCAAACGAGGTCTTATAATTAGGATCAGAAATGATATTACATATTTACATTTGCTATGGGAATATCTCTTTACCAACTACTCTGACCCATCAAGAGCACATTCGAAATCTAACCAGTAGCTATCATACATAAATTTCCAACAAAAAAAGAGAAACACGATAGGAACTGCATTAAAAGATGAAAAGACATAAATGCCCTCCTCTCTCGACCATCTTCTCATCCAAACAAACAAACAAATTGGCAATTTTGAAATTGCGAGTTATTCGCAAATTAAAAAAAAAAAATCAACTACAAACAAGATTACAAGACAGCAAATCTGATCAGGTAGTTGAGGAGCAGTTATCCAAACATGCTTCAGTTGAACAATAAATATTTGCATGTGATATGTACTTAGCCTAAAATACGAGTAATGGATCAACTACTTAGCCTAAAATACGAGTAAGGGATCAACATGGGTCAACTTTTTCCAATTAAAGAATTTAAGAATACCCATAAATTCTTGACATTTCTCGTTCTACACAACCCAACTTTAAAGTCCAACCAGGAGTATTTATTCTGGTTAAAAAAAAAAAAACAGAAGAAGAAGAAGGAGTATTTATTATCCCACCTTGCATGATTATCGATGACTGCAGCATATGTTTTTTAATCTAATTTTCCTTCCAATGCATACTATATTTCTAGGAAATTTTGTGATTCATTAAA